AGGGGCCGGGGGGGGCTGATAAGTTGGGGGCAGAGGAGGAGGCCTAGGGATGTGCGCGGGGGGGGGGACCCCAGGAGGGTGCAGAGGGGGTGCTGGGGTCCCCAGGACGTGGGAGGGGCTGGGGGGGAGCGCCTTGCGCCGCTGCGGGGATGGGTCCTGCAGCCCCCCATGGGCACCGGCAGCACCGGCGCTGGGGTGGCCGCGGTGGCTGCAGCAGGGGGGAGGCCTCGGGCCGGGGGGGGCCCTGCTCCCCAGTTTGGGGCTCAGCGGGAGGGGGTCGTGCCCCGGGACGCGGCCGGGGCCCCTCTGGGCGTGGGGGCCAGCCGGGGGGCTCGGCCTTCCCGGGGGCGTTGGGAAGCGTTGCGAGAGGTTGAGATAAGTGAGGCTGAGGGGTGTCCAGACCCTGCGGATTGGAGGGTGCTGGGGGCGCACGGAGACCCCGGCCCGGCCGGGGCACCCGCGACAAGCGCAGGGGTAGGGGGGCTGCCTGCCATTGCGCCCTGTCCTCCCTATCAGTGTGCTTTGCTAAGGCAAACGGAGTCACCACCACCCCCTTTTTTATTTATTTTTATTTTTATTTTTTTTTAATTTTTTGCACAGTTGGGGCAGCTGAGGCATGGGCCGGTGCAGGTATTTCATAGAGGAAATATTTCATATTTCCACAAGGTCACGGGCAGAACAGGCATTGAGGAGGACCCGGCTCCCCGGACCACGGTGCTTGCACCTTCAGGCGAAGCTCCTGGGCTGCTCGTTTGGGTGCAGTTATTGCTGTGAGCTGCTCGGGCTGCAGCCAGGCCTCCTGCAGCTGGGCAAAACAGTGCCCGAGACTCGTTTCTCCTGGAGCACTGGGAGAAGCCCCCCTTTGGGCAGGACACGCCAGCTCCAGTGCCGTGGAGAGCACCCACATTCTTGCGAGGTGTCTCTCTGCATCATCTCTGCAGGCTGAGGATGCTCTGGCAGGTGGAAGGTCTTTTCTTGGGGCTAGAAAGTTTCCATGTGAAGCAAAGAGGTCCGAGCAGGATCTGGAGGCCCCTTGCAAGGAGCCCTTTAGATGGTCTCCTAAGGTGGTCACTCACTCACAGGGTCACTGAATCCCTTAGGTGCTGGCACAGGCACTGAGCTTCTGCACCCGCATCTGCTGCTGCCATATACTGAGCAGCAAAAAAAGCACCAGGAATAAATGTAGCGAGGACAAGGATGCGGAGTCACCTGAGATCATCGGAGAGGGAGAGCTGGGAGCCGGGAGCGCTCGGCTCTGCCCTTCCTTTGCCATGACCTTGATCAAATGACTTCTGCAGCCTCTGCTGGCCCCGTCGCACGGTCCAGCACCGCTCGCGGGCTGTTAGAGCCCAGGACCTCAACCTCTGGTGTTGCTGCCTTCTCTTCTGCCCACCTTTCTCTAACACCTTCCCCGTGCCCCCTCATCCTGTGCTAGTCCTGGCCTTATTCCCCATGTCCCTGGGCAGCTGACAGGTTTGGCTGTGAAGTGTCCCACCTCATTGAAGGTGCTTCACCACCAGCCCTGCTCCTCTCTGGGACTTGGGAATGATCTAGCTTCTTCAAAGGAGGCAAGAGTCATCCTGAGCTTTACAGACAGCCCAGAGACGTTAGCAAGCAGGGAAAGCCCAGTTAACCTTTCCTTAAACCACAGCATAGGTCTGCATTTCCGTGCCCGTCTGCTGATTTTGGCCAGACCTGGAGAAGCCACCATTCACCAGGATATTTCTGTTTAAGCTAATGGCAGGAGAACTTTCCCAGGAGAACTCAACCTTGTGGGCTTGGAATAGGAAATTTTGGAGTCTCCTAATTGCTTGACCAAAACGGCTGCTTCCCGCTAGTAGACCCTGTTCTAAGCAGGCTCATCCCCACCACAAACCAGCTGCAACCAGCTCAGGAGAGCACAAAGTTGCCTCGAGTCCCCCCGATGCCTTGGGGCACGTGGAGCTGCGTGAGCCCCCAGGACGAGCACGTGGGGCTGGGTCTTCTGCAGGGCCCGGCTCGCCCAGCACTCACCTTGCTCTGTGGCCTACTGCTCTGGCCTCTCTTGATGCTGGGCTCCCTTTTCTTCCAGGTCAGTTGCTTATATTCTGCTGATTTTCTCTTCTTTCCTTATAGGAAGCGTAGCAAAGAGCAGAGCAGGCCAGATGCTGTCGCGATGGGCTCCATGGCCCTGGAGCGTGTGCCCCAGCTGAGCAGGGCCAGGATGCTCCAAAGGGCAAGGAGCAAGGGAAGGAGGGTAGTACTGATCTCAGCAGGGCCTGCGTGATCCGTGTCATGTCCATCTTCAGGTCTGATAGGCTGGGAAACAGCTCTGTGGTGTGCGTGTCTGTCTGGCTGATAGGAGAAGCGCTCCCGTTTTTACGGAACCATCCTGCTTCCCAGCTTAGCAGGGGCTGAGTGAGGATTTGCTGAACTTTGGGCTTTGCCCTCCGTGTGAGCGCATTGTAAAGTCATCTCACAGCAGCTGCACCCTGACCCACGAGAGACCCGAGCACATGGGAGCCACCTCCCCAAGGATGTGCTGCTCGGATCGTGTGGCTTCTCTGCAGGCTGCACGTTCAGGATGGCTCCTCACCTTGGCCTTTGAGCCCGTGCACACGGCTGCCCTGGAGCTGCCTGTTCTGCTCCCACGTTGGGCTTAATTGCTTTTGTGGATGATGTTGAGTTAGGGTCCTAAAGGCTCTTTTTTCTTTCTTTTTAAACCAAGCAGATGTTTTATGGTGTGCAGAACAGAAGTTGGCTCAGTCGCCATCTACCCAGGTTAGCACTAAGCTTTGTGGTTCTCCTGCATGGCAGTAGTTGTGCTAGAAGAAGCCTCCAAGAAGAAGCCTATTTTGATTCCACCAGGATTAAGCAACATAGTCTCTATCCTGATCAAAAGCTTGAGAAGTCTCTCATCTCCATTTAGGCCTTTGCAAGCTTCCTGTGTTTATTTGCATCGTTCTTGCAGACACTCCGAGCTCTGGGTAATGACATGAAGGGGGAGCTGTGGGTGCTTCGGTCTGAGTTGATCAGAACCAGTCATGGTGGCACCAGCTGCTCCTGAAGGAGCACAAGGTTCATGGTGGGTCTGGGTGTGCAGGTCGCTGGGCTCCTTGAGCAGTGCAGGCTGGAACTGCAAACTGCAGAATATCCTTGTGGGTGCAGGAGAGGATCTGCACTTGGGAGAAGGGTTTTAGCCTGGTCACATCTTTATTCTCCCTCTTCATCTCCTGTCTTCCTCCTTCCAAGTACAAGAAGGCATCTCCGAGGGCCTGTGTGTTGGAGCAGTCCATGTGCAGCAGTCTCTAGAGACGCTTCCTACAAAGGAGACTTTTCTTCCAGCCTCACAGAGGTGTTAACATTCTCATTTGAATGTTCTTCCCCAAATAACTTGGTTTTAGGGGGATATCACCGAGTCCATTTTAAATGTGATACTTAAGCCTGAGTTAATGGCAGCTTGAGTGCCTGGATTCCTCTGGTGACCCGGGAACGTTTGACATTGGTGTTGCACGATGAGGATTTGTTTGGTAGGCACCAAAGTCAACCATCCCCAGGACAAGATGCTGTAGGACACCAGGTGCTGTTAGTTCTGCCCATCACAACAGTTTCCTCTTTTTCTGCGCTGACGTTTTTGTTTCCCGGTTTGTGTTTGAACATCCTCAGTGTCCCCAAGATGGCCTAGATGGATTTTCCCTCTCTGTTCCATGTGCAAGATGGAGAGAAGGAGAGATGGGGCTCACACGCGTCAGAGACAATTCCTAGTGTCATTCCGGAGGAGAGCAGGGAAGGTGCCTGGGGACATTGCCCTGTCCCTCTGGATTTCAGGCGTGACACGTCAGGCAGCCTGGGGACGCGTTGATGGGACCTGCGTTGGGGACAGGATGCGCATCAGGGCCTGCCCTGCAGCTCCGTGGCCTCACGGGGCTGCGGAAGGCACCTTGGCAGGTGCTTGAGCTGTGGGCGCGTTCCAGGAGAAGGGGGGCCTGGCAGCTGCCGCCTCTCCCAGGAATCCTGCCAGAAGTCCTGCACACAAGTCTTAAATACAGCAGAGCAACGTGGCCGGAGCGGCTCCCGCCCGAGCCGGCTGGAGGGGTAGCTCTGCTTCCCTGCAGTAATTAGAAGCCGTCGAGTTCATTAACTGTAAAGGCTGGCACTTTCCAATGCCTTTCCCTGTGGAGAAGGGCAGCTGGGTGTCCCTGCGAGCTGTGGCTGGGGACAGGCTCCTTCCCGGGAGGCCGATAGCTCTGTAAGGAAGCAGGGACATCGCGCGGCAGGAGGCCGGCGCGTCCCCTCTGCTCGCAGGGAGCTGCTCTCCGCTGGCCAGTCCCGCTCCGAGATGCCGAGCAGAGACAACAGGTTTATATCTCCGTGAGCAGATGGTCCTGCACGGTGACTAATGAGCTGCTCGCGGCCTGTCTCGGGCTCTCCGTGACACCGTCTGTGCGCAGGAGGCCTCGTCTCGCCCTGGTCGCTGCAGCCGCTCGGTCCCTTCCCGGTGACCGTGCGGAGGCTTTTGGGCCGGCGCGGGTGGCTCGGGGACACTTTGTGTCTCTGGGTGCAGCAGAGCTCGCGAGACGCTTCGCAGCCCGTGCACGGCGCCGTTCCCGCTGCCCGTGACCTTGCCGGCAGCTGCGCCCGCCGCGAGCCGCGTGCCGGGAGCGGGTTCCCTGCCTCCGTCACCACGGGGTGTCCGCAGGGCATGGCCGGAACTGGGGCGGCTGCTGCGCATCCCGCCTGTCCCGTGGCCCTGTCTGCGCCGTCAGCTTGGCAGCACCTCGGCTTCATCCTGGGCAAATGTTGGGGAGGCTCCAAGTGTGGCGGCCACAGGGCTCGTGTCCTGTCCCTGAGAACCACCCTGCAGCGCCCAGGGGCTGCACTGGCCCTCGCCTTCCTCCCCCTTCCTGCCATCCAGGCTTCCCTGTGTCCAAGAACAACTCCGCGCTCCCCAAGGCTAACTCATTTCTGCTAATCAGCCAGCCTGGCAGAGGTAATGCAGCGTAATTAACTGCTCCCCTTACACACAGGCTTGGCTCCGTGGGAGCCTTTGGGAAAGGGATGGCTAGAGAAGCTGGCGACTACAGTGCCGGCTCCAGACCGGGGATCCAGGGAAGGGAGCACCGGCAGGTTGGGCATGATCCTACCCAGTGCCTCTCAGGGACACTGGCTGCAGTGAAGGAGACAGCAGCCAAGGTTGCCGTGCCCTGGTTTCCCTTGGGAATAGCGGAGAGGAGTGTTGATCCACGGGGACACAGGCATCAAGTGCTCCCTGGTGGCCAAGAACACGGGCAGGGAACAGCCAGGGTTGGCCAGGAACAGGCATGCCCTAAGGAACGTGTCTGCAGGGATGGGTTAGGGAGCGAGCCCAAGCTAACGCTGTCTGTGCTCTCTTTTGCATCCGCCTGGATCTGGGGAAGGAGCGGCAGAAAAAAGCCAGGTTGCTCGAGAGCAGCGACGGCTCCAAGGACTCGGACAGCTCTGCGGGGCGCCGGGGCAGCGCGGGCCGCAAGCACGGCCGCTGGCGGGCCCGGCCCGACGGCGCCGGCCTGCTGGTGTCCAAGGTGGTGCGGGCCGTGACGGCGAGGCACCGCGCGGGCCGGAGGCCGCCGCCCGCACCCGACTCCTCCAGCCGCAGGAACCTGACGGAGCGGCGCGGGGACGGCCAGCCGGGCGTCCTGCAGCAGGGGGACACGGGCAGCGTGGAGGGCGCGCCGCAGCCCACCGACAACGGCTTCACCCCCAAGTGCGAGATCACGGGCAAGGACGCGCTGTCGGCGCTGGCGCGGGCCAGCAGCAAGCAGTGCCAGCAGGAGATCGCCAACGTGGTGTGTCTGCACCGCGCCGGCAGCCTCATGCCGCAGTCCGTGCCCCGCCACTGCCAGCTCTCAGGTGAGTCCCGACGGGCACCCTGCTGCCACCAGAGCCTTGCGAATAAACTGCCCCAGGCTGTCGCCCGTTCCCTGGCTTGGTAATCCAGTCAAAGCTGTGCTGGGAACGTCACCCAGCCCCGCGCTGGCTGCAGGCATCAGAGCCAGGCGCACCTACGGCCTCCTGTTCTGCGGAGCTGGAGGGGATGTCCCCCTGCCTTCCCACGTGTCCCTGTCATCAGGGAAGCGATCGCAAAGGGCCTCGCGCCCTGCCCCGCGTGCACTGGGTGTGATGTGGTTTGTCCCAGGCCGTGGCGGGTGTCCTGGGCTGTTGGGTGTCCCGGGCCGTGGCAGGTGCCCCAGGCCATCCAGAGCGCATCGGGACGCTCACGGCCACGTCCCTCCCCGCGCAGGGAAGGTCAGCCCCGTGATCCAGTGGGACGAGAGCCGGCTGCAGCAGGCGCCCCCGAGCAGGCCCGTGCGCATCGTGTACATGCTGGTCGTGCACGGCAGGGCCATTCGCCAGCTGAAGCGCCTCATCAAGGCCGTGTACCACGAGCAGCACTTCTTCTACATCCACGTGGACAAGGTAGGGAGGGCTGGGCGGCCAGAGTGCCCCGTTTACTAACCCAGACGGGCCGTGAGTGCCACTGAGCTCCCTGCTGATGCGGAGTCTTGTTCCCCGGCAGCGCTCCAACTACCTGCATCGGGAGGCACTGGAGCTGGCCCAGCACTACCCCAACATCCGCGTGACGCCCTGGCGCATGGTCACCATCTGGGGAGGCGCCAGCCTGCTGAAGATGTACCTACGTAGCATGAAGGACCTGCTGGAGCTGGCCGAGTGGCCCTGGGACTTCTTCATCAACCTGAGTGCCACCGATTACCCCACCAGGTAATTGGGGAGCCTCAGGGGGGATGATGGAGGGGCCAGGGCTGCTTGGTGCCGCAGCAGCCCTGGGAGCGACGCTGCTGGGAGATGTAAGGAGGAGCAGGGAGCTTAGGGCCGAGGGTGGAAATGGCACCACGTGCTGCTGCTGATGCTGGCGGGTCCCGTCCCTGCTGAGGTCCCGTCCCTGCTGAGGATCCCAGCCAGTGCCTTGGAGGCTGTTTTTTCCTGTGGTCTGGGTGCTGCGGAGTGAAGGCGCATGCAAGGACACGTGAACACACAGGCGTGCACCACCCCGCTCACACCGAGCAGGCCCCAGACAGCAGAGGGGCCACATCTGAGTCTGCTCAGCAATGGGGTGAGGTTTTGAGTCAGTGCCTAGGAAGCAGCTTTATGTTCCTTATATTTGGTGGCTGTTGCAGCTTGAACCTTTGCTTCAGGGAGTATTAACCCTTTCTTTTTTTGCATCTTAGAACCAATGAAGAGCTGGTGATGTTCCTGTCCAAATACCGAGATAAGAACTTCCTCAAGTCTCATGGCAGAGACAACGCCAGGTAACTGTGCCTGAGGTCAAGGCTGAGTTGGATGATCAGAAAGGGGGGATATCTGGGAAGAACTAGAGCAGGGCAGGGGGCTGTTGATGCTGCAGTTGCCAGGAGCACAATCGTGCTGATGTGAGGCCGCGTGTGTCACCCCACTGGCTTTACCCTGTTGGAGATCCATGCCGTGTCTGAGCAGAACGGGTGTCACCCTTAGCCCTGCTTGCAGCTGCTGGAGGACCCTCGTACTCAGCCCTTTTCCCCACGCGCAGGTTTATCAAGAAGCAGGGCCTGGACCGCCTGTTCCACGAGTGCGACTCGCACATGTGGCGCCTGGGCGAGCGCCACATCCCCGAGGGCATCGTGGTGGACGGCGGCTCGGACTGGTTCTCGCTGACGCGCAGCTTCGTGGAGTACGTGGTCTACACCAACGACCAGCTGGTGTCCCAGCTGCGGCAGTTCTACACCTACACGCTGCTGCCGGCCGAGGTGGGTCTGTGCAGGGGCGTTTCGTCCATGCCCTAAGGGCAAGGCAGAATGTACCAGTTTGGGCTTCGTGCCTTTGCTTTGCCCAGGCCTGGGAAAGTGGGGCAGACGGGCCAAGGATCAGTTTGTATCCAGCCCGCTTTGGCTCCAGGCACCCCTCTGGGCTGGATAAACACCAATCAGGGTACAAAGCCTCTTCCATTATGGGTTATCCAATCCATTATAGGATGGATTTACGCTTAGGATCTACCGCAGCCTTTCGGCTGTTTATTTACATGCCCTGTTGCTGTGCGAGTGAGGGCCGGGGGGGCTCCGTTAGCCTCCCAGGCTCCATCCCCATGGCCTCATGTCTGTTCTCTGCCATGCACAGTCCTTCTTCCACACAGTCCTGGAGAACAGTCACGCCTGCGAGACACTGGTCGACAACAACCTCCGAGTGACCAACTGGAACCGAAAGCTGGGCTGTAAGTGCCAATATAAACACATAGTCGACTGGTGCGGGTGCTCCCCAAATGACTTCAAACCTCAGGACTTCCTACGGCTACAGGTGAAAAAGATCCTCCTTTGTGCCCCTGCTTTCTCCCCTCCTCCGTCTCCCCTCGCTGAGCTCCCTTGCAGACGTGCCCCGGGTGCAAGGGCAGCTGGTGTGCACATCTGGCCAGCTGTGCGCACCATATGCAGTGTGCACTGTGTCCAGCTGTGCTGGGGCTCTGCAAATGTTTGGGATTGTCCCGAGCAGCCTGCCCAGCACCAGCCTCCTGCTTGCAGCATTGCTGTCCTTCCCAGGCTTTCGCTCCTGCTTTCCTCTCTCCCTGCAAACCAATTACTTAGGGCAAATGTCTTATCAGTAGAACCCCTTCGGAGAGCTGTCCTCTCTGGAGAGTCAAAATGCCTTGAGATGAACTCTCCTTTTATAGCCGTGCTGTAGCGAGCAGAGGCATAGCCCGAACAAGGCAGGTTTGGGAAAAGATATATGCAATCCTAAAAAGTAAAGGTAGCAGAATTTCTTTACCAGTGACTACAGTCTCGGGCTTATGTAGAGCAGGGCTGTGATTCTACAGGTGCCTGTGCTCGGCAGAGGCTCTGGGAGAGTGGAGACCCATCTAGATATTAGATAGATTCCAGCTAAGGAGATGGATGTCACCTGGCTGCTTCTGAGCACAAATTGGGGGCAGTGGGAGGGAGAGGAACCAGATGGCACAAGGGATAACTGTTTTTCCGCAGTCTGTATCACCCTGGCTTTCACACAGAGGCGGGAGTAGCCAACACTGTTTGCTTTTCCAGCAACTCTCCAGACCCACCTTCTTTGCGCGCAAGTTTGAGTCGACTGTGAACCAGGAGGTGCTGGAGATCCTGGACACGCACCTCTACGGCAACTACCCGCCCAACACGCCGGCCCTCAAGGCCTACTGGGAGAGCGTCTATGACCGCATCGACGGCCTCAGCGGCCTCAGCGACGTCACCCTGACCTTCTACACGGCCTTCTCCAGGCTGGGGCTCCGCAAAGCCGCATCGGCGCCGAAGGCGGAAAAGCTCTGCAGGTGGGACATTCGCTGCAGCTCCATCCGAGCTCCGAGGGCCACCTGCATCTTGCTCTTGGAGGATGCTGAGGGTCGTGTGTGCAACTTCTCTCTCTCTTCTCTGTCTCTCCAGATTTGAGCCCCAGGGTTTCCCATCCAGTGTGCACTTATATTTCTATGACGACCGTTTCCAGGGTTACCTGGTGATGCAGGAGGTGCAAAACTCGGCAACTGGGCAAGCAGAGTCCTTGGAGGTGTGGATGATGCCCCAGGGAGCTTTGAAGCTGGCAGATCATGGAGGACAGACAAATAGGTTACAAAACCTTGAGGTAAATGGGGAGAGCTCTGCTCAACATCCGCTTTCCTGCCCTGCTTCTCCAGACCACCCTGCCCTTCCTCCTCTCCCTTACTCGAGAGGGACAGAGATGTGGTCCTTCCATTATGCCTGAGGACAAACCTCTGTCCAGGGCTTTATCTCTGATTTCTACATTCAGGAAGATGTTAGAGCATGGGATATGGAGTTAGTTGGTGGGGAAGAAGCCTGAATGGATCTCGAGGGAGCGCTGGGGCTGTTGGTGCCCAGTGCCTGTGGTTAGATGCTGCGCACAGCTGGACTGGTCCTGGTGGGCAGGCTGGAGAACAGCAAGGGGTGGTGTGGATTGCACTGGGATGAGAGTCCAGACCTCCCCAGCTCTGCAGAGTGAAACACAACAGCAGATGTGGTGACATCTCCTGTCCCAGTGTCCCACTGCTATGCACCTCCTGTCCTTGCAGGTGGGCACAGAGTGGGATCCCAAGGAAAGGCTCTTCCGCAACTTCGGAGGCCTGATGGGGCCCTTTGACGAGCCAGTGGCCATGCAGAAGTGGTCGCGGGGGCCCAACCTGACAGCCACCGTGGTGTGGATTGACCCCACGTACGTCATCGCCACTTCCTACGACATCACGGTGGACGCCGAGGCCGAGTTCACCCAGTACAAACCTCCCCTCAACCGGCCCCTGCGCCCCGGCATCTGGACCATCCGCCTGCTCCAGTTCTGGGAGCTGCTGGGGGAGAGCCAATTCCTGGTGGTGCCACAGACCTTCAACCGCAAGCAGCCTCTCAGGAAGGGTGAGGATGCTCTTGGGGTTGGGGCTGGGGCTTCCCTGGGCTGCTGCTGAGGAGCAAACTGGAGCCTCCCTTGCCCGTGGTGTCCCCTTGCCCGTGGTGTCCCCTTGCCCGTGGTGTCCCCTTGCCAACACAAGCCCTCAAACTAGGCCAGTGGGTAGCTGCAGATGGCCCCTTGGCCATCCTTGGCCGTCCTAGACCTTGGCCGTCCTAGACCTTGGCCGTCCTAGACCTTGGCCGTCCTTGGCCGTCCTAGACCTTGGCCATCCTAGACCTTGGCCGTCCTTGGCCGTCCTTGGCAGGTCAATGAGATCCCTTCTCCCTGCACGGGACGGCAGCATCCCTGCTCCAGGCTGCGGGAGGGCTGGGTGCAGGACGGGTGCTGACCCCCCAGGACAGTCCCTCCGCGCTGACCTGCCCTCTCTCCCGTCCTGCACAGACGACAGCAGCTGGCTGCACGGCGGCCCCCCCCGCAACGAGTACATGGAGCAGAGCTTCCAGGGCCTGGGGGGCATCCTGAACTTGCCGCACGCGGCCGAGGCGGAGAAGGAGGCGGCGCGGAGGGCGCAGCTGACGGGCAGGGCGCTGGACGACTGGGCGGACGGCGCCGTCGGCTCCTTCTGGTCCGTGGCGGACGTGTGTGCGAGCGGCCCCTCCAGCTGCTCTGCCCTGGAAACCTGCGGGAAAACCTCGTGGAGCTCGCTCTCCCCAGACCCCAAATCGGAACTGGGGCCCGTCAAAGCCGACGGGCGGCTGAGGTAGCAGGAGCAGCCGGGCAGCGGCGTTGGCAGCGAGGAGCAGCTGCCGTCACCGACGTGGTGACGGATTTGGGGTTCCCTGGACTGCGTCACCGTGGGAGATTTGCTCCGTAGTCCCTCGGGGAGAGCGTGGGAACCTCCGTGACAGGGTAAACCACCTCCTGGGGGTATTTTTGAGGATGAGAGGGGGGTGTGAGACTGGGACCTTGCCCACCTTGCCAGGAACAGGCGCTTGCTGCCAGAGCAGAGCGTGCGGGTGGCAGTGGCGGGGCCCATTGCAGTGGGGGCTGGCGTGAGCGGTGCATTCATCGCTCCCGGCCTTGGAGCCACGGGAAGGGGCAGCGGACAGGGAAAAGGGCGGCCGGCAGGGAGCTGTCCGCACCCTGCGCAGCCCCTGGCTCCGTCTCCGCAGGGCCAGGCCCAGCAGTGGCTCCGGGTGCCCGGGGACAGGCGGGAGCCGCACGGGGCAGCGCCTGCCCCACGCACGGGGCTGCTGCCGGCCCAGGGCCTGCATCTCATCCCCTCCACCCCAGCCCCTTAGTTTGTATTTTTATAAATATAGAAATATATATGACGCAAAGTGCAATAGAGACGAGACCCCCGCCTTGGCCGGGAAGCCCGTGCGTCTCCGTCTCCCCTCAGACTGTAACATAACTTGTTCTCTTGGGTGTCCTGCAGCTACAGGACAGGGTGCTGGGTCATTTAGGCTTCTGTTCTCTTTTGTTTTTTTTTATTATTGTTATTATTGTTTTGCTGTTTCCCTGTTTCCCGATGAGGGAATCGCACCCAGCTGCCCCAGGTTGCTGCCTCGGGGGCAGCTGCCCAACCGTGCCAAAAGTTTGGAGCTGCCGGTGCTGCTTGTGCCACGGCCATGTTTTGGGGAGGCATCTCTTCCTTCGGCACCAGAGTTCATCACGAAGCCTCTGCATCCTCCGTCTTCACTGGAATGGGAGCCGAGCCCTGAGACACCCCCGTGCCAAAGGGCCACCCGCGTGGCTCCTTCCTTGCTGTGATGGAGACGCTGGTTCCCCTCTCGGACAGCTGCTCTGGCGGGGTCTAACGTGAGGTGATGTCCAACCAGCTCTGTCCCTTCTCCGCTGTTTCTGCTCCCCGTCTCTTCTGGAGGGAACGGATGCCGCCTCCAGCCACCATCCCCAGCCTTGGGGCTCCGTGCACCTTCCTTTTCCATAGGGAGAAGTCAGAGTTTGCTTCCTCCACCCCGGAAGACATTTCATGTGCCGTGTTGCTGTGCACAGGCTCGCTTGTGGCTCTGGGGACGTTGGGATGGACCTTGCAGGCCCTGCTACGGCCAGAGAGCCTGGAGCTGCCTGCTCAGGGCCCCCCGCATTCCCACTGCGGGTATCCCAAGGGCCTGTGTCCTCTTGGGCATCTCCTGGCTGACCTCGGGCCACCTCGGCGTTTGTGCTCCCAGTCTGCGGCGCGAGGACGGCGGTGCTGGAGGCGGCAGCGTGGAACAAGGGACGGAACAAGGCGGCGGGGACGGAGCGCGGCGGGCTGCGGCGCGGGGCTGGGGGCCCGACCTGTGTCCGAAGCACCCTGTAACGCTGCTGCCTTGGCTGTGCCCCCTCCCCAGCACAAATAGAGCTGCTCCCCCGTGCGCTCCGTGCCTCTTTGCCGCGCGGGGAGGCCAAGGGGGGCCGCGGCTCTGCGGCTGCCGGGCCAGGGGTCACCCCGGGCGCTTGGTGCCCTCGGGGGCTGAACGGGGTGCCGGGTTGGCGGGAGGGGGCTGGGTGTCCCGGGGGCGGGGGTGTTGCGACACTGGCAGTGACAAAAAGCGGGTTTTTACCCGTGTTTTGTCCTAGCCCGGTGGGGAGCCCGGCTCTGTGGGTGGATTAAGCGCCTTTGAGCCGCCCGGGGGCCCCGGTGGAGGGGGGCAGAGGGATCCTAAGCGCCGTCGCCCCGCGGCGCCGCCTGGGCGGGTGGCGGCGCTTGGCGCGCGCGTTAATTAATTAATTAATTAACCAATTAGCGGGCACCTGTCGCTGCGGCGGGGCGCGCGCGGCGCCGCCCCCACCCCCCGCC